ACTGAACAAATGACTAGAACTTTCAATGGGGTTATTCAAATAAAAAACATACACATGTATGGTTCTTTCAACCTTTACTATCTATTTAGCATGTCTGTGTTTGCAAATATATTTCATTCTCTTTCAAATAAAGAACAAACTCCAATAAATAATGAATTATCCACTTTCCAAACCAACTTATTTGTGTTAGAAGCAGTATCCGTAGGACTGAATCACTTCAGGAGTCATGAATCAAGTGTAAAATGAAAATTCATTTATCAGTGAACAAAAATAATGCAGATAGAATAGAGGAACACCATATATTGAATATGCTATGCTTTTTGTTTGTTTGTTTTTAAAATTTATTTATTGTTATTATTACTAGCATATTCATTATTAGAAATTATGATTTTTCTTTATGCCCTTTATCCGACCTGTCCCTCTCCAAATCTCCCTTCCCTCATCTCCAGTAACCTTAGGTTTGTTCTCTCTTTATGAAAGTTCAAATAATTGCTGTGATCTTTTCCTTCCTTCCTTCCTTCGTTCCTCCCTCCCTCCCTCCCTCCCTCCCTCCCTTCCTCCCTCCGTCCTTCCTTTTTTTAATGCTGTGTCTTGCCAACTTTCTTGGCTATTCCATGTGAAGAGTAAACATCTATGGAGACTCTGTCCAGCTTTTTCTTTTGCTAAAAAATTGTGTCCTCAATCCCCTCCTCCCCCAATCATCTCCCCGGGGATTCTAACAAGGGTGGCCATGGTAGTGATATGGGACTTTATCCTCTGCCAGCCCTGATGGTCCAGAGGGGGGGGTTCCTGGGTGTGACGCCAAAAGCGACATGGTGAGGAGGGGAGAGAAGGTGGTGGGCAGCCTCTTTTGTTGTTGGGGAGCTGCTGTACCAGCTCTAGCCAGGCAATCCTGTTATGTGGGTAATAAACCTTTCCTGGGTTTCTGCTACCTGCTCACAGACCCAGTGCAGCTGATACAGTGTGTCCACCCCGCCAGGCATGCTGATCACTCTCCAAAGCCGTGCTGTGAGCACATACACCCAGCAGATGCACAGGAGAGTCCTGTTGTTCCGCAGCCTGGCCAAGACTCTATATTGATTAGGATCAAGTTTGGCTGGGACAGGAAACGCAAAATAACAGGTGCTTAAACACAATGGACATTTATTCTCTCTGTGCAAACCAAGTCCAGGGGCAGGGGATCCCAGCTCGATATGGCAGCTTTACTGTACAGGATCCTCAGAGATGAGGCTCCCTCCCCCACCTGTCACCACTGCACCAGCCCCAGAAGGCAGCTGCCAACTCTTGGCCTCAGCTGCATTCCAGGCAGCAGGGTGAGGGAAGGAAAGAAGAGGGGAAAGGGCATGTCTCAATGTGTTACATCGGACTAATCCCAAGCCCTTGGTTAGTGAGACACTCCTGTCATTGGCTTGGCTGCTTCCTTCTAAAGAAGTTCTGGGCAGCTGCCACACGACACTTCCTCTCATGGGACAGAACTTGAGCCACCTGGCCACACCTCCCTGCAAAGGAGGCTGCAGAATAGGCTTTGTCCTGGAGAAGTCATTGTCTACGTGGAAGAGACCGAGAACTAATATCAAAGGACAGCCCAAAGCCTCTGCTCCTCTCATGGGTGCTCCCTTATCTTTTATTTTAATTTCCCTGAATTCTAATGAGGATAAGCCTAACTTCATCCCTTACAGCACAAGCTGGCCAGTGGGGCAGAAGAGGATGAAGAATGTCGTCTGTACTCCGCATTGTGGTGACACTGGACCCTATAAGACACTGTATAAACTCTAAAGTGCATTGCAAAGATAAGGAAGGACAGCCCATATGGAAAGCACTTACGTGTCCACTGAGTGTTTTGTTTTGTTTTTTTTTTTTTGGCGGCTGTAACTGAGTGCTTTCATATTCGTTGTTTTTTACATAATTTCAGCAACCCTAAGAGATATGCTGGTTATTTTCCTTTCGTGTGTTACCCCTGCCCCATGCATTCTCCATTCATCCGCCCTATTCTGCACACTACAGTCTGACTTATAAAGACTATATCAATTATTCTCTTTCCCTTTGGCTCTGGTTGGATTCATCCAATAGGAAGTACCTGTGGGAATTGGAAGGGCAGGAAGAGATAGGTTCAGGCAGTGGTGTGCTGGGAAATGTTTAACCACCAGCTCTCCAGGGGAAAAACAGCCTGATTTGTATCAGTGTTTGCCAACATCCATGATGTAAATACTACTACCATGGTGGATTTCAAGCTACTAATGTCACTGAACGTGGAGCTGGAAGGAGATGTGCACAACAGGTTCCAGTACACCACTGGGTCAAAGTATTGATCCCGGGCTCTGTCCCTACCAGGGCATCATTTGGGAGGAGCTCCTGTCGGTGAGCAGCCCCTTCTCTCAGCCACAGCCCTCACTATCAACAACTCCCTCTCCCTGTCCCTTTGGCCTAGGGGTGGACAAGCCTTCCTGCTCTTGTTGGTCCCAGGGAGCTGCACCTCCCTTGACAATTTCTGAGAGGAGACCCTTCATTAAACCCTCTCATCTCAGAGTGTGCCATTGGTCACCCTCCAGGACACTGACTGAAACAGAGGCAGGTGTTAGTAATTATCTCCACTTACAGATGGGGAAACTGAGTCTCAAAGAAGCAGAGTGACTCACCCACAGTCACACAGCTAGTGTTTGGCAGAGCCCAAATCAGAACCCAGACGTACTGAGGCCAAGTTCAATGCCAGCATCCAACAGGGTTTGTTCTGTTGCACTTTCCTGACCCTGTTAAATTATTGCACTTTATAAGAGGATTCTTTTTAATCCCCTTTCCTTAATCTGTGTAAAACATGGCCTGTTTAAATGCCTACACTTAGCCACAGTCCCTCTCAAAAGCGAGCTCTTGTAAGCCGGGGGTCAGGTGATGGACTCAGGTGCTGCTCCGGTGCCGCCCCCCACCCAGTAGCAGCAAAGCAGGCAACACGCACAGGTGGGATGGGCCACTGCAGTGTTCTGCTTCTCCTGTACCCAAAGCTAAAGGTAAAGTCAAGAAGGAGAGAGGAAGCCAAAAACTTA